ACTAATGGTGATGCGATCGCGCATTTTGCAACTGCAGTCAAGCCACTACGCGCGTGGACATCGCCACGCGCGCGCATGATGTGGACAAAATTACACATATTGCCGACCCGATCGCTTGCAGGCTGACTTTCCGCGCTTGCCAACTTGCAAAGACGCTAACACCCGCTGTTCGGGACCTCGAGTCAAGTGATTCAAGTGGGCACGCACGTGGGCCCTACGGGGCTCGCGTGCCAACGTCTGTAAGCGCACCCTGGGGCCCTGCAGGGTTCGCGGCGCTGCGCTCGGCGCGCATCCCCAAGCAGTAATGGACTTCGGGAGCAGAGGGCGCCAGTAGGGAGATCGCTAACAATTTACATTTACACTTACTGGGCACCGCGGGACACCGCTGCGCACTGCGACGCGGATGCCGCGGGCAACCGCGAGACACCTCGGGTAACGATCGCGACACCCCGGGGCACCATCGGAACACCGCGGCGGGACGCCCCCCCCCCCCCAGCCACAGCGTGCCATAGGGGATGGGGCGTAGTTCTGACCTTACGGCGCCCTAGCTGGCGCGCGAACGCGGCGGCCTTGCCCCCTCGCGCGCTGCGTTCGCCCATCCAGCGTGGGCAGGTGCGCGTCTGCCCTGCCCTCTCGCGCCCTGTGCCGTTCCGTGCGAGGTTTGGACTGGGCCGCCGCGCGCGCGGCGGCCATGCCCTCGCGCATTATTCTCCTCGCGGTGAACAGGCCACCGCCGCCGCGCGCGGGGCGGCCCTGCTCTCGCGGGACGTCTGTTTCGCGCATGCTTATATATATATATATATATATATATATATATATATATGAGCGCGCATATGAGCATCTACGCGCAACACCACAAACCAAACATACCGTTATACACATGTATGCGCAAACATTTTTATATACGTATGTTTATATGCATGCATGTATGCGTGTATGCATGCATGCACATGCGCATGTTTGTATGTAGCGTTGTGTAAACGTGGACAAATAAGTGTACTTGTTATACCCGCATGGAGAAATATGCTTGCACACGCGCGCGCGCCATGGGCCAGGGCCGCCGCGCGCGCGGCAGCTGCGCCCCTCGCGCATTGGGCTTTCCCCGCGCAGGCAGGGCCAGTGCCGTCTTCAGCGCGACCGCCCCGGCTACTCCTGCTCAGCGTCTTCAGCCGCAGAACGTGCCTGATCGGCCTGGCGCGCGCCCGTGCTGCGCCTCGCGCGCGGCGCCTTTCCAGTAGATTGGGGCGGGGCCGTGCGAGGCGCGGCGCTGCCCCCTCTCGCGCGCCGCCCTGCCGTTCCAAGCGGTGCCGGGGCCGCCGCGGGGGCGCCCGCCTCGCCCCCGTCGCGCACTCTGGAATTCGATGCAGAATGGGCCAAGGTCACCGCGCGAGCGGCGGCCTTGCCCCCGCGCGCGGTTCTTTATCCAGGCGGGGCCTGGGCCAGGGCGGCGCCGCGCGCGGTGGCCCTGCCCCGCGCCCCGCGGCTCTCCAGCTGGGCCAGGCCAAGGCCGCCGCGCGCGCGCGGCGGCCCCCGCTGCCCCCCCCCCCCGCGCGCGGCGTCGCAGAGCCGGCCGAGGCCGCGCGCGCGCGGCTTGCCCTGCCCCCCCCCCACCCCCGCGGGGCGCGCCGCCCTGTGCAGGGCGCGCCGGGGCCGCCGCGCGCTGCCGCCGTGCCCGCTCGGACACAACGCCCCCCTGCCCACGTGGAGCGGGCCCGTGGCCTCGGGCGTTGCGTTCCCTTGAGCCGAGTAGGCCAGGGTGGCCGCGCGCGCGGTGGCCGCGGGCCCGCGCGCGTGGCTTAGTTTTCAAAAAGATTGGGCCAGGGCCGACGCGCGCGCGCAGACCGTCCGGGGGGGGGGCCCCCCCTTGCGGACGTAGCTTGCGCATTCAGGACTGGCCGCGGGCGCGCGCGCGCGGCGGCTCTGTCCCCTTCCCGCCGCGCGGCGTTTTTTCTCCGCGCGCGTCGAACACAACCGCCGCGCGCGCGCGACCGCACCGCCCAGCTCGCCCGCGATATTTTTTTTCAACGCGACCACGGGCAGGCCCCGCCAACGCGAGCAGCGGGCTGCGGCAGCGGGCCTGCCCCTTCGCGCACTGCACTGACGCGCAGAACTTGCAAGAGCCACCGCGCGCGCAGCCGTGCTGCTTTCTGACGCGCGCTGTGTTTCGCGCGGGCGGCGGCCTTGCCCGTTCGCGCGCTCGGGTGCTCCATCTGGAAAGGAGCAGGTCCGCGGCCCTCGCGGCGGCCTTGTCCCCTCGCGCATCGCGCTGGCCCGTTCAGAGTGGGCCAGGGCCGCTGCGCGGCCGCCTTGCCCCCCCCCCCCCTCCCCGCCCTGCCCAGTCGCGAGCGGCGGCCCTGCTCCCGTGCGCGCGGTATCCTGTCGCGCGCGATTTGCCAGGGCGCCGCGCTCGCGCGCGGCGGCCGCGCCCCCCCCCCTTTCTGGCGCGCGTTTCTTCGATACGTTCAACCTGAACAGGAGGCGCGGGGCCCCCGGCGGCCGCGCCCTTCGCGCACCGCGTTTCTGCGCGCAGAATGGGGCAAGTCCGTCGCGGGCGCGCGCGGCGGCGGAGTCACCGCGCGCGCGGCGTGCTCCCCTTCAGAAGTGACCAGCGTCGCCGCGCTCGCGGCGGCCCTGCCGCCGCGCGCGCCGCGTTCCCCATGCAGACTGGACCGGCATTGCCGCGCGCTCGGCGGCCGCCGCTGCGGCGGCGCCGCCGCGTCGAACGCGTCGGCCTTGCTCCTTCGCCATCTGGTTTGGTCAAGCTGAATCGGCCAGGGCGCCGCGCGACCAGCTTCCCCGCCCCCCTCGCGCGCGGCTCCGCATCCGATTCGAATGGGCAGGGGCCGCCAGGGCAGCGGCCCAGGCCCCTCGCGCGCGGCGTTGTTCCCTCCGCGAATCGCTTGAGCTGCTCCGAGCGTTGTGTTCCCGGCCCGCCTCGAATTGTCTCTTGTCGCGCCGAATTGGACAGAACCTCCGCGCGCGCGGCGCCCCTGCCCCCGCCCCCCTCGCCTCGCGCAGAGTTGTTTTTTTCTGCGCGATGGGCCGAGGCTCCCGAGCCCGCGGCCGCCCCGGCGCGAAGGCCGTCGCGCGGGGCGCCCCGCCCCCTCGCGTATTTGTTCTCTTCCGCGCAGCCTGGGCCAGTGCCGCGGCGCGCGCGGCGGCCCGCCAGGTCCTTCTTCCATTGCGCGCGCGGCCCAGGGACACTGCGGCGGCCATCGAGACGGCTTCGCGAGCGCGGAGCAAGGGGCCCGGGGGCCGCCGCGCGCGCCCCGCCCCCCCCGCGCCCCGTCTCTGGTCGCTGGTGCCTGGGTTCTCGTTTCCGTAAGTCAGTTTAGTTTTGTTTCCAGGGCTTCCCATCGAATCATTACCTGTTTTCTCTGGGCGCTCTGCCAGGTCTGCGCATTTCCCATTGGGGTCTCCTGCGCGACTCTTGCCTGCTCTCCTTCGCCAACCGAATGTTTAGTAGTCAGATTTCGTTGGCCCCGCCCTGCATCTGTATATTTCCTGCGTGGGCGTGGCGCAGGTCCCCATCAGATCTGTCAATGCCCATTGCAAACCTTTCCTTTGCCACGCCGAGGAGGCCAGTGCGCTGCGACGCGGGAAGTGCCGTCAGAGCAGCTCCTGGCGCCGCGGCGAGTTGCTTACCGAGACAAGCGCTCTGCGCAATTTCATACAACATCTGCCCTCGGACTGCCTCGCGCAGACAGCAGGGCACCCTGGCTCGCGGGAAAGATGCAGACCCCCCCGGGACTTACAAGACATGGGGAAGTGGCCGAGACTTTGAGATCCGAGTTGCGAAAAAAAGCTGCGGCATCACGAAACATCGCGACTGGCGCTCTACACCTGTAGTTGTTTTCGAGCTGGGAAATACTGGGATGTGTGTCTATTGATTGCGAAGGCTTTACAGCCGGTGCCGCCGACCCTGAAGGGATACGATGACAAGAGCGGCGGCGGCTACGACGACGACGCTGACGTGGGCAAACCTCTCGGGGCCGAGGGCCCCTTGTCTGGGCACGCTCTGGGAGCCGTCTTGGGGGCCTCTTGGGCCGTCTTCGAGGCGTTCTGGGTTGTCTTGGGGTGCTCTTTGGCTGTTTCGGGGCCCTCTTGGAGGCGTGTTGGGCCGTCTTGGGGCGATCTTTGGGGCCTTTTGCGCCGTGGAGCGGCGGGAAGTGGAAAAGGGGAAAACTCCCAAATCTTTAAAACACGCCAAAGGACAATCAATGACTTTGGCCTTTTGGGGTCCTCTCGGGAGTGCTCTTGGAGGCTTCTTGTGGCATCCTGGAGGCCTCCTGGGCAGTCTGGAGGGCGTGAAGGCGATTTGGACCGATCGTTTGGCGATTGGGGGCCTTCTTGGAACGTCTCGGAGGCCTCTTGGGGCACTCTTGGTCTGTCTTGGTACTCTGTGAGGCCCGAGGACCCCTAGGGGCAAGGTGCCGAGCTCCACCCGCACCCCATCCTGGAGAGGGCGCACCGACGGAATTCAGAATCCTCACTGTGGACGACACGGTGGCCAGGTCGAAAGGCAGTCGAGCGGTAGTGAGCGCATCAAGAACAGCGCGACAGATTTAGCGGACAGGCTGCGAGACGGCGCCGTCCGCCTTGATCGGCACGCGCCACAAGGACGTCAAGAAGTAGCACGTACCCTTACTAAGAGGGGCTACCCAGTCCAGGCAGCCACGGAGGCGGTGGACCTGGGCATCGGGGCGGGCGCTGGCAGGTAGAGGATCACCACGAAGGCCAAGCTGCGCGGCAGGAGGGCCAAGATGAGGTTTGCGACGATCGTTCGCAACCTGAGGGTCGCGGCGCTGGCCAGGGAAAACAAAATATTATGGACAATGGGTGTTGTGCCACAAGCTGCGTGCGGGCACCAAGCCTTCGGAATGGCTCTTCACGAACTACAGCGGTTTCGACGTGCTGCCGGTGTAGTGGCTGGAGGCAAGGCGAGAGGAAGATGCTTGACCACCGCGTTAATTGTGGAACATTGGTGAGGTGACCCAGCCATGGTGGTGCGAGTTGCAGCCGTGAAAGAGTGGATCAACGCGTGGCAGCGCTCCCCAGAGATTCACGACAGAGTCGCTTTCGCTTGGCCGCTCATCCACGCCAGGCTCGTCAGGATGGGATCACGGCGATCGCGTGGAATGCGGGGCCCGGTGGGGCTGACATGGCGACCCTCATGGACTTTGGCTGGCACGTACCTTCGGCTGCGACATGGGCGCGACACATGGCAGATGAGGAGCCCTGAGAGCAGTGGAACATGCCGTCGTCGCTGGACTGCGACTTCGACCCCCCTGGGTCCTACCAGCTGCTGCTTGCGGACATCGAGACGGAAATCAGAGGTCACCCGTGGGAAGGCGCGTCGCAGCACAACGTTGGAGAGGACCTGCAAGCCGGCGGTGATTCATGACGCGCGGAGCAACGGAGGCTCGAGCAGAAAGGCACGCTCGATATCGTCGGCCTCAACCTGACGGTGGTCACGGGCGGCCAGTGACCGAAGACCAGAGCAGCGCAGCAAGCATATTAGCTGGATAGCACGTTGCGCAACAGATGCGGGCTGCACGAGGAGACGCTCATGCACCGCATCTGGAAGTACCCGCAGAACAGAGGGCACGACGACATTGTAAAAACGGACACGCTCCTGTCGGAGCCAGCGATGTGGCTGCGCGGAATGCCCCCAGCCTCTCTCACGCATCCTGCTTTGGTGATGAGGAGCTGGACGGGGGGAAGGACCAGTACTTCTGGGTGTGGGGGTGGAATGTGCGACGCACGGTCAGCGTCTTCGCTTCTTCGGGGACGGCCCAGGAGGTCGATGCACGTCAAACCCCAGGCGCCGCCGATGTGGAGCCGGCGCTACTGCGATCCAGTGGAAGGATGACGAGGGGGCCCCTGCTGCTGGCCTAGCCATGCTGCTGGGCGACAGGCGAACGGACCCCGGTTCCGATATCCTGGCACTCGAGGAGTGGCCACCCTCTCGAGTTTGTCACGGACCACCGCGCGGTCGCGAGAGCTCGGAGGCATCGCCTGGCCGCTCCCAAAGCCACCTGTTCCAAGACCTGCGGTCCAGAGCCAGGGCCGCCTGGAATTGCCGCCCGCGCAAGGACATAGATGTAGTCTGGACTTTGCCCCATCTGGACGAGAGCGCCGAGATGCTCGCAACAAAGCAGCTGAGTATCTGTGCGGCGAACCTAGCTGCGGACACGTAGGCGGAGAGGGGGTGAAGCTGGCGTGGGGGCTCGTGCTGGGGGGTGGGGTGGGGGGCAAATGCTGATCGGATCGACTCGATTGCGCACTTGGTGCGCGAGCGCGCGCGCATAGCCCTGGCTTTGTCTGCATCATCGGCGACGGGACAGACGGCTTCGCGGGCTCAAGTGGTCAAGAAATTGTTTAAGCAACAGCAGCGGGCAGTCACCACCTCACCCCGCCAGCTCGAGCAGGTCGGCATCAGCTGTAGATGCTACCATGGCGAGCGCATTGTTCCCAGTGCGAGGTGTTTGCCTTTCGCGGCTTCCGAGTGTGCGGTCCCCGCTGGATGCGAGACCCGCGGGGCCCTAGTGTTGTTCCATTGTCTGGCCTGGAGCATGAGGCCCACCCCCACACATTCTCCAACGCACTTAGAGAGGTGGGTTCTGCAGATGTGCTCTCTGCGCGGGGTGCGTGCCACAGTGGACCGTCGCTCCCCGCGCAGGCGTCGTGCAGGCATGGCCCCGAACGGCGCTGAGCATGTCCGCAGGATTCATCGTGGTTTGTTTCCTCGACTGGAAGGCCCCCCCCAGAGCCATCAAGAGGGCCAGGCCCTCGATGGATCAGCATCGCCTGGAGGGTGTGGCTGGGGGGTGCCCGTGTGAGTTGGAGCCCGTGGGAGGAACAGTGCACCCTTCGAGCCTTGTGCCGCACCTCCCGAGGTTACCCGAGCCTGCCGTGACAGGCGCGAGCAGGATCAACTGCGCACGGTTGACAAGGAGCTTCGTACGCAGGCGGAGGTCCAGATATGGTCCTCCGCGACGAGGGGGGGGTCTCAGCTCAGGCTTTGGGTGGACCTGGATGGGGATTTACATATTTTCTGCTGAACGGCACCGTTGCACGTAGCAGGGGATTGAGAGAGAGGGAGGGACGCACGTTTTAGAGTAAAGACTTCCACAGGATGTTTGCTTCCCCGGCTGATGTTTTCCTTCGTCCACCCTCCTCCCTCCTCCTCCGCCTGATGTTCCTCCGACCCCCCCCCCTCATTACCATACCCCTCATCTCCCTCATTTCATTATTCCGCATCCGCCTTCTCATCTGCCCTCTCGTCATATGCGTCCTTCTATGACTTCCTCGTGTTGCCTTATGTTTTTCCTCCAGCGCCGCCTCACCATCCAAACTTTATTTCTTATGATTAGTATCACCACCACCACCAGAAACATCATGATCAATACCATCATCATCATCATCATCAGCATCATCATCATCATCATCATCATCATCATCATTATCTTCATCTTCATCTTCATCACCATCAGCATC